ATACTGTACTGTACTACCAATACATTTAATATTTGGTTTCTTCTAAATTTTCTTCTGATATTGTACCATAGTTTGAATGCGAGTTAGAGTGCAGATCTAAGTGCGAGTTTGATAGCGTTTCTTCTACTGTGTCCGATTGTAGGAGATCAACATTGTCTCTCTTGTCATCTACACCTTGAGGCAGCCTCCAATATCGTACATAACATAGATTTACGGTAATTAGAATTACCATGAAACCAAACCACTAAAATAACATAAACACAAATACTAAGTTATTAAATTATCTCCAGCATAGATGAACAATAATAAACTGGTAAAAAATTAAATTTTAAGAAAATGTTATAAAATTATATGCCGACTTCCTCCTTTGAGTATGGTAATATTAACAGTGAAGTCTCTTTTAAGGACTCATTAGTTAGTGATGGCCACTCCAACAGTTCCTGAGCAGTAGCGTATACTGGGAGTGTTGCTTGGGGTACTCACCCTTCAGAAGTTGAAAAAAAAAAGAAGTTACTGATTGGTAAGTAGAGGCGTAACGAGTCATGGGTCCCCTAAATTTTATTTGTCAATTACAAAGGGGCCCTTTCACAGCGGAATATCAAACAATAAATTCAAATTCTCTATGAATTCTGAGCCCTTTACTTCATTATTCTGGAGTATTTAAATTTTAGTGGAGCCTGGATGTGATCGGGAATTAATAATGTATTAAAAGAAGTGTTGTATGTGAGTCCACTTACGGCAATGGAAGTTAAAAGCATGGCATTACATTACTTTAATTTTCTAGTTTTGGGTGTTTTCTACTGGTTCATAGTGCCAAGGATGTGTTATAGAAGAGTGCTGTTTATTAGTAGGACGGTCCACACACCACGCAAATGTGCTGCATGTAAACAAACCTGCATTTACAATTAGTTAGGTAAACACTCTCCCGTACCTTGTTCACCATACAGTGGCGTATTCAAGGGGGTAGGTGCAGCCGGCCTGGAGCCCTAATCTTAAAGTTTTCTTTATGGTTTATAATGTTGATGGTTACCAGTAATTCTAATCATTTGATGATGACACCACACCCAACAATCTAATAATATTTCGTAAGTAATACTTCAATTTTGTTTTTGTTGACTAATTTGTCAACTAAAAACAATTTAAAAAGGTAATTTAAGTTCCATTTCCAGACATACAAATACTGACTATGCCAACTATGGTGGCATTGAGTTCAGTTACCACCTTCCTTAAATAATGGATATGGCAGTGCTGAGCAGTGAGCAATTACATATGGCACGCTCATTCACTGCATATTTTTATATGCAAGTCTATTTTTTTTTCTAGAAATAATGAGGTTACATCATTATGATGTACAAACATTTTCATTATACTTAGAGAAGGGCATAGTTTGATGCAACCACCAGAATGAATGAGTTACTGGCTTTTCTTGAACATATAACAACTGCCAGAATGACCGGGCTATGGGCTTGCCTTGGACATATAGCAACTGCCAGATTGCATGGCATGAGGTACAGGCTTCCCCTGGACACCTGCATCACATGATGAAAATCTTAGTGTCCAAGATCATCAAAACAGTGCAAACTTCTAATCTGGGGCCCTTGACGGCCGCCAGCCAATGGAATGGAACAAATTATATCCTTTCTGTTTAAAATCTTGTGAAACTCAAATTTAAAAACTTAGCAATTATGCTCGTATGTGGATTGGATTTAATAGCTTGATGGTTAAGATGGTTGGCTGCTAACTCTAGGGTCCTGGGTTCAATTCATGTCACAGTTACTGATTTTTGTCATGACCAAAACAACTCAACTCCCTAAGCTTCATAATGAGACTTAGTTTATGTAGAGCATCTTCAGTTTATGTCTTGTGAAGGGATATGCCACTTAGCCACGCAGTTTGGCATATCCTTGGCCTTCGACCTAAACCAATTTGTAAAATTAATAATAAAATTAATATTACTACTATATATTTATGAAAGACCATATTCCATATAAATGGGAAAGTGGTTATGCCTGAAAATATATAGAACATTGGTAAAAATCTATCATGGTATTAAAAGAGGGAGTATGTAAAATAATTGGGTGTTCATAGTCCACCCATTAAAAATATGAAATAAAATTAATTGGCAAATGACTCTCTAAGCTAATGACACAATTATCATACAAAAAAAAATACACAGCAAAAATAAATAAATGTGATGTGAAGATGAAGAATACATGGAAACCAACAAGAAGGTTGTTGATGCTTTTTTTGTTCCTTTTTTTCTTTGTCTTTTCTACATCTTATTTGTTTTTTTTTTTGTATTCAACTTCTATTCGATTTTGTTGAAAGTGCATTCATAGAGACCAAGTATTATGGGCTATACAACAGCCATTACCATTGCTATTGTAAGTGTATAAAAACTGAGTAGCTAACCTGTACCATGCATGACATGAAGCTCTCAGGAGAGAAGCCATACCAAGGATGATCACCATCATTAGATATAGTATCAAAAGCCCACCACACCAACAGTACAGCAGCCTCTAGAGGAGCAACAAATCTACAACCAAAAGATAATAGTAATAACATCTCAAATTTATATGCCACCAATTCCAAAAATGATCAAAGGCATAACGTATGTGAATATGTCTTAAGCTGTGACTTAAAAGTTGCAAAGAGAGTTAAAAGAATTTTGTTATTTGCAAACTAGTTCCAAAAAAGGGAGAAGTATTAAAGTGAAAAAACATTGACCATAGGTTTTGGTACTGTATATTGTAGCATTATAAATGAACACTAATGATTGTTCTACAAATTTAATGTTATATCATTAAAAAAAGGAAATAGTGATGATTTGACAAATATTGCACATTAAAAACCCTAGTGCCATTATTATTATTTTTATAATTTAGTTATTCCAAATTTTGAATACTGTAGTATATCTTTAGTTCTGCTCCTGATTCTCAGTTTGTTTTGGTGGGATTCATTTTAAGTTTAGTAGGATTTTTGTTAAATCATTTGGCTACATTTGCGCTTTAATTTCTCTAAGAAAAAAGTTTTTATAACACGATATGATGTTTCTATATAATGTGTTAATTTGTCTTTATTTTATTTTATTTCTCACAAAATATACAACACACAAAAAAATAATACAAAGACAAAGAAAGAGGTATTCTGAGGAGGGGCCAAAGTTGTTCAAAAACTAGTATCAACGGAAATATTTTTTTAACTTTTTTTATAACTAATTTAGCCAGGATAACATTTCAGTAATATACATACAGGGCATATACTATATATATATATATATATATATATATACACAGTAGAACCTCGATTTTACGTACATTACGGGACCGGAGGGCGTACATAAATCAGGGGATTCGTGAAATAGAGGTTGGGTTAAATTTGTTGTAACCTTTAACATAATATGTACGTAACGCTCGTTAAACGTATGTATGAACGAAAGATGTACCTAGGCTAGACCTAGCCTCTAGGCCTACGAATAAAAGCATTTGTTTAGTGTTTTTTTTCATCACTTTACGATGTCATAATAAAGTTTTCAAATAAAACCATGTGTCTCGTGTATTAATTCATCACTTTATATCTTTTAGTTAACTGAAGAACATGAAAATATTGTAAGATTACCTATACGACAATGGTATAACTTGGGAGTTCCCCTTCATGCCTATTCTAAATAACAGAACTGTGGTGTTGTTTGGGCCTGTTGAGGCAAACTAAAACCATATGTGCTGCACTGGGCGAGCCAACCAATTAGTGTTTGTGTACGTGAAACAGCAACCATGTGCAATGCACTGGCGTTCGTGTACGGAAAAATTAGCGTTTGTGTACAAAACTATGTCTACCCAGCTTCGTGTAGAAAATTCGACCAGACAAGTTTTTCCATGGTTTGCCACACGAAACTAAGGAGGAAAGCAATTATTTTGAGCACCATCGGTAGTTGTTCCTCTCACTCAGTTCACGTGGTTTTAGATTATAACAACCCGGTATTAGACTCAATCAACGTTGCTGTTTAGTGAAAATATGTTGCATTATGGTTTGTTTATTGTTATAGTAAACAAAACAAAAACAAAAAATTCATACAAATTGTACTGGTATTTAATTGAATGCAGAGAACTGGTTTAGAAAACACAATACCGTCTTGTTAGTGCCATTATTTTTAATCCATGTTGTTTAACACTGCTTTCTACATTTTAGCTGGTGTGTAGTTGCAATTTAAAAAAAATTAATATACAATAGTATTTATATAATTACAGGAAAAATGGCAAATGCAACATGATCATTGTCACTTCAAGCAGCAGCGATGAAAGAACAATAACAATAGAACAAAAATCAACAATGACAGGCAAGCACCAACAACTTCAAGGTATGAGTAAAATGTTACTATCTATTGTTTGAATGTAAATGACGTTATATATATATATATATATATATATATATATATACTGTATATGATATTGAAGGAAGTTAGCCATTAACACTGTTGAATAAATATAATATAAATGATCAAAGGTATACAGTGTTTAATAAGGACATGATGGAACATCTTAGGCTTCTCTGTAGCTTTTCAACGAATAAAGTCCTATAAAAAGTCATTGTGTAATAGAATGCCTCCAACGGGATTCGAACCTGCGACCTCTCCCTGACAAGGCGAGCGTCATAACCACTAGACCACAAAGGCTTCATGGTTGAACAGGTTCAAATAACCGTCTGGAACATTGTATTACAAAATGCTACGCCTCAAGAGGGAATTTGGCCAGATAAATCTGGCAATACGGCTAGGAATACTGTCGTATATTATATATGATATTGAAGGAAGTTAGCCGTTAACACTGTTGAATAAATATAATATAAATGAACAAAGGTACATATACAGTGTTTAATAATGACATAATGGAACATTGTAGGCTACCCTGTAGCTTTTCAACGAATAAAGTCCTATAAAATAATAATAATTCATTTATTTGTTATTATTTATTTTATTCTTGGTGTTTTGCTAATTTATATGTATATTCATATAATGTCTTCATATTTTAAATACAATAAAAATCTTATATCTGCTATTGTTTTTATGTTTTTTGTCTGGGAACCACTTGATAGTTTATTAAGTTCACTTTTTCGTTTCCTCTTTCCTCTGTTGTTCAGAAAATGAAATATAGGCCTACATAAAAGATCCATCAAAGAAAGGTTGTATTGTTTGGCTGGCATCAATGTGGTCTCTTTTGTTTGTGTTTTCACAGTGAATCTATATTCTGATTTGTTTATGTTTGTAATACTAAAACTATATTCAGACAATCATTTTTTTAAAATCCTGATACGACTCAACACTTCAAAAAATTGTAAAGATACAAACATGGGTCATTACCCATGGTTTGCCGACCGTAAACTTATATGGTACTTATTTTTGATATTGTAATTACTGTAGTACCTAATATTATTGCTATTACCAAGAAATTCAATTAGAACTGCAATTAATAAACATGAACTAAACTCAAAAATTATTATACTTACTTGACAATCCATTCCCACAACACAGGCAGTTTCCAGTCATCAATGCTGTAGGTATTAAACATGTCATCCCGAAATTTCTTCACACCGTAGCTATAGATCATATATAGGAACATTGTGCCAGAAATAATAAGTGCAAATCCCCAAACAAAATCCTTTAAAATGACAAAATAATCATTAGTTTAGAAAAATAAAATGGTGTACATTAAAAACTGTAAATTATAACAATGCTTAAATCATGAGTGGACACATTAATTTGTTTGCAAGTTGCAATTTCAAAAAAGACTAAAATAATACACTAACAATTATAGTGCAAAAAATATACCGTAAAACCTAGAATTGAAGCCCAATGGGCTTAATCCCGCAAAGGAGCCCATCTCGAATTGAAACCCCCGTTTAGCTTGCAAAAATAGCCTCGTAAAGATGGCCATCTTGAAAAGAAGCCCATGGGCTTCTTTACAAGTTAGCATGTGCTTCTTTTCAAGATAGTTCAGTACATACACTGTACACAAATTTCCAAAAATCTGAATAAATTAAAAACATGCTTGGTTTATACAGTAGTGTAGGTGATTTTATGCCAGTTTTACACTCTATGATACAGACTGATGTTACAGTGGCCATTTATTGTTTTTATATTAATAAATTCCCAAAATTTACAGCATATATTTCAAAAAGAAGCCCCCTCTTTACTTTGCAAAAGTAGCCTCGAAATGGCCATCTTGAAAAGGGGCCCATCCCAGTTCGCAAAAACGTCGAATAGAAGGCCAGGGCTTTTATTCGACGTTTCACTGTAAGTCATTACCTAGATTGATTTAAGAATATTGCACTTGGTAAGAATTGCAAAACTTTGGACTACATACTTGATTAAGTAGGAAGTTGAGATTGACAGCAGAGCCAACACCTATTACAAATATCACTACACTGCAGCCTATAGTGGCTTGCCAGCGCTCCACTGAAAAGGAACCAACCAAATGTGTCACGTGATCATATCAATCATAGCCCCTTCATTGGTGCTGTGTTTATGGTGCTTTGCAGCAAACTTTACTATATTTTATCATATTTATTATATATATATTTGTATTTGATTTTATATTTTATATATATATATATATA